TTCCGTCTTGAATGATTGACCAGATGACTCATAAAATGGGACACAACAATAAGCTTTTATGGCCACAAAGGAGCTGCAGCAGAATTAGGTTAATTCTCTGTCATGTTCCTAGGCATTCGAGGGTTTTTTGTGGGAGCGTCAGCTCTGTGCCTAAAGCTGTATTTACATGTGAGTGTATGTGTGATGTTGTCAAGAATCTGGTGTTTGTCAAGGGGCTTGTGTTTTCCAGGCAGCGAGTCAGTCAGGAGAGAAGAGCTGTCAACTTGGCTGATCCGTGCAGCCGGCGCAGAAGCAGGAACGCCCACCCATGTCAAATGTCACAGCACTAATTTCTTTCCAATGCGGCCCAGGTATAACCGCAGGGGTCGAGAGACAGACACACCTCACTGCTCCACTGAATCAGATAAACAGGAGAATTTGCAATTCACAAATGTACACCTCCAAAGCATCTTGTCATTATTGTTCTGATTATTAGGACTTTTCTGCAGCATATTTTGATTCTCTTACCAATTCTTGAGGGGAAAATGGCATTCCTGATCTATCTTGCACTGCAGTATCAGTTAAACTTGGTTAAATTAGCTTTTCATGATTCCTGATAATGATTTTGATAGCCTCTGGAATATGATGCTTTGCATACTTGGGTTACGTTATGAATGTGTGTTGCAATACTTCAAGGGTCTATACATGCCTGTTATTTTTTATCTAATGCACAATTTCATACTGTATGAACAATTGGGTGTTAAACTAAGTGAAGGCTGTCACACATGTTTGGTCCATAGATCTACTGGAAGAGTGTTTTACAAATTACTCTAATGGCTTGAATGCCTTATTGAACGCATTTGTGCCTTTGTTTGTTTTTGCCCAAGGGCAGATAATATGCGTCCTCTCATTCCAGTGTCAACAAACCACCACTGTAAGACTGTTCAAACCACACATGACCCAATAAAAAACATTTTTCCCAGGAAATTCTCCCAATTACCAGCTGTTTGTATGGGCTTCTGCATATTTGTGTGTCCTTCCTTATTAATGCCTTAATAAACAAATTATACAGTGTGTAAACTAGAGGATAATCTTTGCATGTAATGAATATGAAAATCCACATGAAGAAAAATCCTCATGTCACACAGATGCAGCTTATGCAGGAACGTGGTGTACTTTCTTTTTTTAAACAGCATGAACACATTTTAAATCACTGCACTAATTTTGGTCAAGGCACATCTTTTCCAATCTCCAACAAATTAATGGTAATCAAGTAAAAGGGGACCTTCCTGCTCTCCCGCGTCCCTCTAAACTTTCCAAGCATTTAGTCATACCCCTGCCGTTTCCTCATTCCTGTGCGCTCTTCCCCCTAAATTACTGGGAGGTGATGTACAGCCCAGGTGTCCCAAGGCTATGCGAGATTTAGAACTCCGTCCCATATGAAGGAGAGGTGAGAAAAGACATTACTATGCAGAATAGGTAATATTGAAAACGCCAGAGCTCTTTATTGTGCCCCATGCAGATTATCAATCTATTTGTGTAACTTGGCTACCCAGAATTTCATTTCCCTTTTCATTTATTTGCCTTGCTGCAACCGTTTACAGTGCTGAAACTGAAAATTGGAGGCATGACGAGAAAAGGGGAGCAATATTCCAAGGGCAAAATAGGCTCTCTTCTGCTGTGTGATTGAAAAGGTTTATTTAGGGTGGGGGGATGGAGTGAAGGAGCTCACATATGGCCATCTATGCCTCATCCATGCCGTTTTTTTTGTTTATTTATTTATTTCTTATCTTAAGTGTTATTGAGAATTTAGGGAGACATCTTGCCCTATAAAAGAGCAACACTTGTCAGTTTTGCCCTATATTAAATTCAGCACCATGGACAGAGGCGTGAGTGTGGTTGCATTGCCTAGCATTTGGTTTCAGCACCATGGACAGAGGCATATCTGTCAAAACCCTCTGTTTTAGGTACCTGTGACTGCGGGCTAGTCATTGGTAGGCTGTAAATATATATTTATATCTTTATATTATATATTATATATTTTTTTTATACATCTATCAGTTTAAAAAATCTGGTATCATTCTACATTGTGGATTTGGAAACTACATCACTGGTCATTGTTGATGTTAACATTATATCCAACGGTTTCGTTGGGTTGGGGGGTGTGAGGGGCCTGCAGAGCTTAGTGTAACAGAGAATAAATGTGATAATGTTTGTCAGTTTTTGAATTGCTCTCAGTGTGCCTGTGCAGTTGGCACAAATGATTGCAGAAGCTGCAGTCATATTTGAGTATACCCAAACGGATTGATATAAGTGCCGTTTGGGGAGCCCAAAGACACACAGTTACACGTCTTGCTCGTTAATTGCGTATTATTCTCATCAGTTCAATGGGCTCAGTCACTTCGGGCGACTGTGAAAACTCTTCTGTGTGGCTCTCAGGTAGGCTGTGTGACGAGACAGACCGTGAGGGAACCATCGTGGAGCCATACCTTACATAATCATCACGGCAGTACCCACTGAACATAATTACGATGATTTGTGCCCTCCCATTTCACCCTTGTATTAAAAAATATTGCTGGAGGTAAGTCAGGCGTGAGCACAGGCGAGGCTGTCGTGGTGAATGGAGTGTGGCCCCGGGGGGGAAAGCTTGTAGAGCAGAGCACAGTGTCACGCCAAAGAAAGCCAAGTCCCCACCACCACCACCACCAACCCCCCACACCCCGCTGGGGCCCGGTCATGCCGTGAGAACGGGATGACATTACCGGGCCATTTAGCTGGCGGAAGAGCAGAAAGAGGTGAGAGAGGCGCAGAGTGTGTCGCTTTTGTTATTTAATGGTTGGCTAATGTCTGGGCGGAGGGGGGGATACCTCATAGCCAAAAATGAAAACAAATAGGTCAACATTATGAGCTCGGGATGTTGCTATAGTATGAGGCCTTGAGGCTGCAGACACTGAAGCAGAACTGGAGAACACTAGCAGCTCATTTTGCTCATCATTTGGGAATGATTGGATGCCTTTTGGCCTGTTTACCCAACACTTCAACCTTTGGTTTAATATGAATATAAAATATTGTCATATTGTGGAGCTATATTGCTTTCATTATAGCAACTACTTTTAGCAAAGGCCAAACACTCAGCATGGTCATGAAGACATATGTACTGTATGTTGTGTGACTGTGGACCTATAAAGAAGTGTATGCATATTTATTCATCATATGATGTTAACTTGCCTGTCTACCTTTCTGTAATGTAATCACAGGCTGAAACACTATAGAAGGTAAGACGTGCTTTAATGTGTGTTTAATGTCACTGATTCATTTTGAACATGCTACTCAGCTGACTATTTAAAATGCCTTTATCAGAGTAGATTTCAACAGGAAAATCAGCACTCTCTATTTACTCATCGCCACGACCTCTGGTATAATAGTTGTCCTTTGGGGATAGAGTTAAACAACATGAAGTGACTCCCAAGTGGATAAACTGGGAAGCCTGTGGTCTTAATTGGGGGATGTCATGCCTGTGCTCAGTTTGATTATCTGATCTCATATCCAAAAGAAGCCACTTTCATCATAGACTTAGCCCATTCTCACAGTAAATGTTAAAAACTGCTGTCATTCCGCTCATTTCTAGGTTGCTAATAGTGGAGCCTTAAAATCTTGCATATGAGGAACAAAACAAACTCTATACTGTCAAATAATTTAGATCATTCTGTCCTGGAGCGAAAATGCAATATGTTGAACCGTAGAAAGCAGTAATTACTTTCTTTTCTTTACACAATTAATGAAGAATGCTCTTTCACTTTCTGTTATGTACCTTCCACTCTGAATTTAATATCAACACCCAGCTCCCTCGCTCATATTAAGATTTTAATAAATGAAAGGCTGTTAGATAATCTGACCGGGCTCTCTAAATTTCATTAAAACAGATTATTTGATACCAATAGTTCCAGAGAAAGTTCTGAAAGGTTTTTTAGGAGACTGAATAATATTGGATGTCCTTCCGAAATATCAAACTTTTTTTCATTGGAGAAGGTTTTAAGTCGGGGTTTTTTTGGTGCATTTTGTATGTGGTTATTGGATCTTTTTTTTTTTCCATCTGCTCATCACCTGATGGAACCCAAAGAGTTGCAGACATCCCTGTGTGGTGATTTCTATGTGTCATATCAATTCATCCAAATCTTGTGTGATTATTTTTCCCCCCCTTCGATGTGCCCCCTCTCTACGCCACTCGGCGGTGCTCACAGACTTCCCCTTTCTGGAAATCAAACCATCCGATCCAATGGACTTTGGGAATGGCGGTGGAAGCTCATAAGAATAATCCGTGTCACCAGTTTAAAAAAAAGAAAGAAAATCGTGCTTATTCTTGAAAACAAAGGAGCGATCGGAACCGTCAGATGAATAGTCTTCATCAGTGTGTTTTAGTTACGCCTTTGGGAGCGATTCAGCACCACGGAGCTGTCCGCGGTGCTGAAGACGTGATACAGCGACTCACTGCTAGTGCTGATGTTGACATCCACCGTGAGGAAAGCTGAAAGAGTACATGAAATGGGTTTTAAGCACAAAATCAAACCTCATAAGAACGACAGCCAGCTTGTCAATCACAATCCAACCGCAGTCGATGCACAATTTTCGCGAATTAAAAACAAGTAAGGGGTAAATAGATAATTCATCACATGTATATTATCACAGTTAATAATGATAGTTTATATGTCAGTCAGGAATAAATAAATACTTGATGTCGTATAGGTGTAGTCATTTGCTCTGAGTAGGCGCACAAAGGAGCGTATTCTCTATATTTCTCTATTTATAGACCCTCTCCCCTCGCTGGAATGTACCACTCTCTCGTCACGTAAGAAAACAGGGGGCAGAGAACTCTTGGTTTGACATATGCGTAATTTTTTACAGCGCCCGTGTATCCAAACCTCCCCACAGCTCTGGCAGGGGTTGAACCGGCCCTGTCCGTTTAAACCGAGAAGACACCCATACCGACTCCTCAATGCAAAAAAATAAAAGGGTGCCAAGAAGCTGGGACGAGGGAACGTGGGTGTAAATAGACAGTGAACGCTCTTGGTCTCTCTTTCTCTCCCCCTCTCTCTCTCTCTTCTCTCTCCCTCCCCCTTATCTCCTTCTCTCTGTCTCTCTTTTATAAAATCAATGAACGAGTTATTGGGTAGGACATAAATATAAGGAATCAAAGCCTCAACTGGGACCAACGGCATCGCGCGCTTTTGATATGCGTCTTCGCCAAATGCTACATTGTGTTTTCACATCAGTGTAAATATTGGCTTTGATAAGACGGCAGCGGAATCAGCTCTGGTACAGCGCGGTCTCGGAGCCAAATTTTGACCAAGACTTCAACCAGCTTTTTTTTAATTGTTTTTTTTTTCAACGTAAAAGCGATTTTCCACCATCGCCATCTATAGCTGCTGTCCTACCCATCCCAACTCAGCGGCCGGTCCGAAGATGGCAACTTTAACCAATGGGCAGGTGGACGGCACGGTGCACGGTGTCGGGGTGGTCTCCGCCAGCACGAACGGGCTCGTGAACGGATTAAGCCACAACCACAGCCCGGTGGGCTGCCCGGCCACCATCCCCATGAAGGACCACGATGCTATAAAACTCTTCATCGGTCAGATCCCCCGCAACCTGGATGAGAAGGACCTCCGGCCACTCTTCGAGGAGTTCGGCAAGATCTACGAGCTCACTGTGCTGAAGGACCGCTTCACAGGCATGCACAAAGGTAGGTGATGCCCAAATTCACTGAGACAAATATTTGTGTTTGTCATTGTTAAATCCATCACACATAGCTGAGAGCCAGGACCCTAAATCATGCAAGATTTGGTGCGTAAAACTGCGCGATTCTTGACCTCATCGTGGTCTTTTTTTGTAAGAATTGCTGACTTTATGCATATAGTTTTCAGGATTTGTGGTATAAAAATAAAAAAAGAAGGTATATTCATCCTTTGTAAACCTGTCAGTGCCTCTCCTATTCTACGCATCTCGATTTTCTACCTTCTTTGGCAAATAAATCCAAGCATGAGAGTGTCACGAATCGGGAGTCACGACGGCAGAATTTTATGTAGGGTGATATTAGGAGGAGCAATGTTCCTACTGGGCAGTGTGAGATGGGAGTGTTCACACACAGAGACACACACACACACACACACACACACACACACACACACACACACACACACACACATCTAGCCCGGGCGGCGGTTGTAAACGTGCTTTCATTCACCACAGTGCTAAATCCAGGCCATTAACCTCACGTTTCACGTTGCAATAGCAGGGAGGCTGAGTTTGATTGCCCGCAGCATTGTCCAGTCTGTTGCCCGTAACTCTCCCACTGTGTGTGTGTGTGCGTGCGTGCGTGCGTGTGTGCGTGTGTGTGTGTGTGTGTGTGTGTGTGTGTGTGTGTGTGTGTGTGTGTGTGTGTGTGTGCGCGTGTGTGTGCGTGTGTGTGTATGTGTGTGTGTGTGTGTGTGTGTGTGTGTGTGTGTGTTTTTTTTTGTTTTTTTTGGGGGGGGCGCTGAGATGGGCGTATACGCGTGCACGTGTGTATGCACGTGTACAACACAGGAGGCGTGGGCCTGCTCTTCAGTGTTTTTAAGCTGATTAGCTTTTTAAGTTTTCCTGTTTTGTTAATATAAGATAGCAATCTTGAAATTGTAACTGAAAGCCAAATCAAAAACAAAACTTGAATTAGAATTATTTTGAACTGATTATTTACTTTTTTTTAACCATGTGTGCAGTTTATAACAAAAAGTATATATTTTTTTCTAAACTGTTTTCACAGTATGTTCCTTTTCTAATGTCATTTAATTCTTCAATGCTTTTGGTTTAACAACGGTACATGGCCTTAACGACAATCCTTTTGGTGCAACAGTCAGTATTTTATTCTCTTCTCTCCATTCTCTGCAAATCACCCTTTAATGAGAGATCACTAATTGACCTGCTATACCTGCAGGACATCTCCCAGGGGAGCAGAGCACATTAAGAATGATCTTTCACTTTTTGAAAGGCCCCCTTCTTTTTGTTGTAAACAATGTGTGACATGCGCCATGTGTCAGTAAATGATGATGATATACAAATAATTCCAGAGGGTGGAGACTGTCTGCGGGCATGTGGGAAACCAAAGAGGTGGAGAAGGGTAGAGAGAGAAATGGGGGAAGGGGAGGGGGGGTATCTTTTATTAATAGCCCAGCTGTAGTAGCGACTCCCTGTTGGACAGTTAATCACCAGTGGCCCCAGAACTAAAGGCCCGGCTCGCCAGCTGATTCTAAGAACTGTCTCCTCACTGCGATATACGGCCCTGCTCCCCGGGCCGGGCCCCCGCTTTCATTAGCGAGCCCCCGCTGAGCTCATATTTTAACTAGCTAGAGGCACTTGCTACTCCCCGGCTCACCAGCTCACTGGCTCCCTGCAAGCTGCTGGAAGGCTGCGTTCCCTCCACAGATTCCTAACACCTTCCTCAGGATTCCTTAGAAGATCTGAAAATTAGCAGTAAAGGAATCATTGTTAACTAATAACAGACATATGTGACAGACTTTGCCCTTATTTTGGTATTTTTTCATATATGGCTTACTAATCCAACCAATACCTAAAAAAAGACTAAAATTCATTTGTCCTATTTTGCTGATTTAAACCATAATTTACATTTTGTACAAACTACTCCTTCATGGGTCCTTTTTACCTCAGCACCTTCATGCTGTATGCATTTAGACTCCTGCCATGGAGTAGAGCCAAACCGAGGGCATAATGACCCTTTAAGGTGTGAAATACTCCATCAAAGTAAAGTCTGCAGAACTGCCCACTAGCAAACTCCTCTTCGTTTCCTTTCTTCTATCTTTTTTCTTCTTCTTCTTCTTCTTTCACCCCGCTTGATACACTTCGTTACTTGCTTTCCCTCTTCCCCCTTTTGTCTTCACTTCATGTACCTCCGCTGACATGTTGCCTCTCCTGTGACAGTGCCTCATGTTGGATAATGGCTGTGGTAGTACAAAGTCTCAGCTTGAATAGGAGATTGTAGATGATCACCCGCGGTTTTTGCCTTAACAATTTTGTCCTATTTCAGCTTGTCAAATAGAAAATGCTTGGTAACTGTCACCACTAACAATGTAACACCTCATCTGAGGATACTGCTGTGCTTGTTTCATTTCACAGAAAAAGAGACATGGCACTATTACAAAGAAGTAAGTATGGATAACACAGAGCTTTGTCTGCAGGTAATAAAAGGCCATTTGGTTTTGCTGCACATCAACAAGCCAAAAGAAGCAGCCCTTGCTATGATAATGGTACCTCTATAGAAAGAGACCCCTATTATAGCTATTGTCAGCCATGCCTGCGATACTATTGCCATAACCCTCCCCATAATGACTCCATGTATCACTCGTAATCTAGTCTTTAGGATTCTGTCCCCTTGGAATGAAGGGGTAGAAGGGAGTATGGAGGAGGAGGAGGGGACGGAGGTCTGCAGAGGCTGGGAGCGGGTGCGTGGACACCAGTGCAGGCCTACATTCTCCCAATGATTTTATTTCTCTCCCCTCTGCGACCGAGCCATGCTAATAGAGGCCATTTATAATGGTCACCGGCTGCTGCTGCTGGTGCTTCTGCTGCTGCTACCGAGCTGAACGGTGCTGAGAGGCACGGCTAGCACAAAGAGCCAGCCCTCTTTCTCTGTCCCTTCCCTCTGCCAATGCAGCATGGGAGGTGGGGGATCTATTCAAGAAAAGCAGGTGTGGATAGGATGGCTTGCCCTATTCATCTGCCCAATTTTCATGTGATAATCACCAGGCCAATTGAGCCGTGATGATATGGGGGAATGACATTTAATAACTGAAGGTTTTATCTATTGTTCACTGCTGTCACATCTTCAGGCGGTATTGTGTTCTAGCCCAAACCTTTATCATCTACCTCTTTGTTTTGTTTTTTTTCCGGGAAATGCAAATGCAAGTATAAATTTGGTTAACTGCTGTTGTTTGTTTGGTGTTGATCTAGTGTAAGTAATATTTATGTCCGTGGCCAAACTATATGTTAAATGTTATGTTAAAGACAGTTAAAAGTAGTTGCAGATCCAGAGGGATGCTAATCATTGAAGCAAATGTTTTAACTTCATTTAGATATGGTCCAAATAGTCTCTTTTTTTTTCGATTTGAAAACAAATGTCAAAGGTCATATTCAGCATATCTGCATCACTAACTCACCATGTTAGCAAATCTTGTATGATAATGATTATACTTTAAACGACATGTGATTTAATACAATAACTTGTAAAAATGGCTGTGTGATAACCTTTAAATATATAAATAATGGAAATCAAACAAGTGGGAATATGACAAACATAGTCATCTTTTTCTATCTACTTATGCTGCAAAAGCGTGATGCCACAGTTGGGTGCTGTAATCTGTGCAGGTCATAAAGGGAGTAATGTTTTGCAACTGAAAGCCTATAGTTTTGATATGTCAGCCCTTTTAACTGAACGTGTCCGGGGAACAGGATCAGAATAGATCATCAGTCTCATGATTTTTGGTGAGGCGGGGAAAGCATGATGCCAGCAACATGAAAGACCCACGCTGTTTTTTATTGCAGACAATTAGGTGTTACAGGTAGCCATTAGAGGAGTACCGTTGGACTATGAACAAAGAGAGAAAGAAGTGTGTGTGGTTGAGTGTGTGTGTGTGTGTGTGTGTGTGTGTGTGTGTGTGTGTGTGTGTGTGTGTGTGTGTGTGTGTGTTTGGCGTGCATGCGTGTGTGTGTGTGTGTGTCCTGCAGGTTTGCGTTGATGCAGCATGTGTTTCGGCCGAAAAATTTCACTCTCGTTGCATCATCCTCTCTGTGGGATCGTCCTCTCTCCTCCTCTAGCGTTTGGTTTGTGATGAGTGTGTGTGTGTGTCTGTGTGTGTGTGTGTATCTCTGAATGAGTGCGCATGTATGTTTATGTACCTCCTTTCTCCTCCCCGGCCCAGAATCCTCCACTCAGCTCAGCTCTGAATGCACGCTCAGGCCCCACATTGTGCCCCCATTTCTATAAAGACGTATCACCATCAAATTGGAGTGTTTTGCCAGGGAGACAGGCAACATGTGTCACAAAGGAGGTTGCGTCTTATCAAAGTTCCCTTGAACTCCAGAACCCCCACCCCACCCACCTGACGCGACTGGCACCACCCCTTGTCCTGGCAGAGACCAGAACTGCCAAGCAACAAGAGGGAAACAAGAGGAGGAGCCAGAGAAGGGAGTACAGTGAGCCTAATTTGTCAGGAGAGCCGTTGTCAAGGCGGTGCTGCCTCTGTTGTCCGTTATTATTGGAAGGGACTGTCAGAGGGGGGACGGCTGATGGCCGAGCAGGGAGCCAGTTAGTCACAGTGAGAGATGACCGCACCGAGCCTAAAGGAGGAAGTGCTCGTGGAGCTCCTGCGGGGATTAGCATGCTAACTGCAGGTTTGGAGTCATGGGGCCTGTCATGGAGGCGGGGCCCTCTGGCTCCTCTGACCTCAGCGCTGCTCTCATTAAAACGACTGACCTTTACATACAGACAAAGGGAGGTAATGTAAAGGGATGGCTGGACCTTCATGTTCATCTCATTACAACTACTTAAGGAATGAATGAAACACGCTGATATTTATTCAGAACAAATTGCAAATGTGTTCAAACATATGCAAAAAAGTAAAATATCTCTTCAACGTATGTACCTTTTAACAACATTTGCAGTGACAATACATAAAAATAAGAATTAAACCA